ATTTTTATTACCACCAAGAAGAGTAAGATTGAGATGGATAGAATATTAGTAGAGTTAGGGAAGAAAGATAAGAATATAGGATTAACCTTCGAGTCAGGCCCCCACGTAGATTACTTAGATGTTAGAGTTCAAGTAGAAATACCCAACTTTAGAACGAAAGTATATAGAAAGCTAGCAGTCCAACCCTAATCTTACCGTTTAACTCAGCACACCCTCCCCAAATTATGAAGAATATTCCCTTCTCAGCACTCCTAAGAGCGGTAAGGATATGTTCCCATAGAGAAGACTTAGAAAAGGAGATAGAAGTAGTTAGGATAACCCTACTCTTGAATAAGTACCCCCCAAATTTTATAGACAAACATTTCAGGAGATTTTTTGAGACTTTGACAGGAGAGAAGGATAGAAAATTAATTCTGAGTGAGAGACATAGTGAGTATAGGGACAAGGTCTTAGATGAGGGATGGAATAAGAAAGAGAAACCCGGGATCAACTTTAGTAGAGATATTATGCTTCACCTTACGTACACCCCCAGTTTAGCTAGATTTGGCTCTAGATTCCACCAGATTTGGGAAGAGATATTCGAAAGAACCCCACTTAACGATATCCCAGTAGTTTTTGCCCATAAGTTGATAGATAACCTGAAGAGTATATTAGTTCATAAGAAACCCCCCAAGAGAGCAATTAAGGCCTTAGTTGAGAATATAGAAGAATAGTTAGATAAAGGTATAAGAAACCCCCTTCCCCTCCCCGCTTGCTTTTTTGCTATTATAGATACGTCAACGACATCGACGACAAGAACGAAGGACCTGGCTTAATATTGTTTTTAGTCCTGTGTTTTTGTATGTCTTGTAATATGTGTTGACTTGTTTTTCGTTTTGTTGTTTTATATCGTTTTTGTGTTGTTTTCTATATTGTTTATTATACAAGTGTTATATTGTGATAGGGATTGACTCAGTACCCCTTGAGTAACTCCCTCCCCCGCACCCACACTATCGAGATTGCCTTGAGAAATAGAAAAGACTAAGAATAGACTAAGAATAGTTGAGCATAGAAAGGAAAAGAACGACATCTGTCCCCCTCCAATGAGAATAGTGACCCCCATTCAGAAAGAAAAAATTCCTATTGGACGAGAGTAGAACAAAGGAGCGAAGAAAGGAAAGAGGATAGGATATAAAGGAAGGAAAGAATAGAGGATAGTCATTCAATAGCCTGAAGAACATTCGAAACGCGTTGCTCATTACAAGTGTTATTTTTCAATATTTATTGTCAATAAAATTATTCAAAACTCAAAACAAAAAATTCAAAAAGTTTGCTCTAAAAAAGACTCATAAAAAAGATTCTTTCAAAACAAAAAAAGTTTTTCTTTTTCTAAACCAAAAATTAATATTTTTCTCTCGCTCCTAAAATAAAATTTAATCTCTTCTTTTTCTTTTCTTATTTCTCTCTAAACTAAAAAGTAGCCTCATTCATTTATTTTTTCAAATTCCAAAAAACATTTCCTTATCATATATATTTATTCGTTCCAAAAAGAACTTTTCTTACTCCTAAAATCTAATTTATTCAATTTTTTATTCATTTATTTAACAAATTCACCTCTCTCAGCTCATTCTTAAATTTACCAAAACCCAAAAAAAATTTCTCTATATTTTTCTATTAAATTTATTATTAAAAAGACAGCTCTTTTTTCGGTTCTTATTTCCAAAAACTTATCAAAAACTTTCACTAAAAAGCTAAAATATAATTCAAAACTAAGCCAAAAACATTAGATTTATTTATTTTTGTTCATTTTGCTCATTTATTCATTTATTTATTCACTTGTCCATTTGTTTTTTCTTTCAATTTTCTTTCCATATTTATTTATTCAAATTAAACAAAAAAACTTTATTTTTCATCTAAACTATTTATCATTTATTTGGTCTTCTCGTTTTTCTTCTACCACATTGTTAATTCGACTTTTTCTTTCAAAACCACACCCACACCCACACCCACACCCACACCCACAACCACACCCCACACCCACACCCTGATAAAAATGGATCGATACCATGATATAGAGCCCAACTTTTTAAAATTTTACAAATTTTTTACATCTTAAAACGAGTTTAGACGCGTTTGTCTGCGTTTCAAACTGGTAACGCGTTGGAACACCCGAAAATGTTGCATTTTGGACGTATCCGGACGCATGAAGTTACATTGCTGACAAACGCTAGGGGACGCGTCGAAAATTAAAAAATGGATACATGGGTGGAAGCAAAGAAAAGAGTATTATATTATCTATTTTATGGAGATAATTATCACTGTTTTGAGGTGTTGTTTACAATCGATAAAGGAATCATTGAATAAAAAGTGGTACAAACAAAAAAATTCAGAGAATCGAGAATAAGATTTTTGAAAAGATTGCTGTTAGAATTTATTCAGTTGATTAATTATATTTAAGCTTAGCCTTTCTTAAATGTGCTTTATAGTTATAAGTAAATAAACCTACAAAATCATCACTGGTCAAAATCCTATTGCAGTAGAATGGTAGAAGTTTCCTCTAATTGTCAAGTTTCAGTTCAACAATGCTTTCTGATCATAGAAATGAATAGACAAGATCAAATTGAACTTTTTTGGAATGTTCAATGGTGATAAATCTAAAATATAGTATTCATTATTGGTAAGAATATCATTCAGATAGTCCATTACGGAATAAAATGCAACATAATGTTTCACCGACTAGTAATCAATCAATGAAAAAACGATAGTGTTTTCTAAAGAGAAGGAAAGCCGTACGTCACTGAAAACAGTATAAGTTAATCTACTTTAGTTTTATAGAATACATTAACATGCTTCGATTAACGTATTATGATCGGACATTTTCAAAGAGAACAAAGAATGATATATAATCTTGCCGATGAAATCAATAGTTAGGAATTGCTTATTAGAGCATATCTGAAGTTGTGCGCACATTGTATTGAACTCTTGGCTAAAAATATCTTGGTATTTTTTTAGTAAATATGTGTACAGAAAACAAATAAATTTTTTAATTGAAAAAAGAACACCACTGAATTGTTGTTAGAAATTTTAATACCAAATAGACAGTAAATCGAATACGAGTATTTTTCTTCATAAAGAAAGGCTATTTAACGTGACGATCATTGCCAATTGATAATGAAACAAATCGATCACATTTACAACATCATATTATTAGTAGATCTCGACACAATTCAATTCATACAAAAACACAGGCAACAAAGCTGTCGCTGTTCATATCATTCAATATGCTCTGAATTGTATCTATATCTGAAAATGTTCCGAGAAAGATACCACAAGTTTATTAGACATTTAACAACAGTGTATGAATGTTTTTTTGCATGTGTGCAATACCTTTTCCTGCACACTAAGTTAAAATGTGTCGGATATGTCGTGATTTACAACACATTTTGGCTGATAAGACGACGATATATTTTTCATTGGTTCTTTTGGAAAAGCATGTTTCGATCTTTTTTCAATTTGTTTCCATTTATTTATTCATATTCCAAATACTCCAGACAGCTCACATTCTGAGATCTGACCGATCTCGAGTCGGTCCGATTTACATTAGAACATTTCAGGGTAGTCTTCTCTGGATCATGGAACGAAATTGGCATTTTCTCGATTAAAGAATGATTGAGAAATAGTCTAGAAAATAAGAATGTTTTGAAAATTTATCTTTCTAATGTTCAACCGTGTTGTTTATATATAACTATGTGCGCATGACAGAACAGTGAATGAATAACCGGCAGACAGAACGCGACAAATTCATATACAACACTTTTTTTTACTGGAGCGCATAACACAATAAATCACGACGCATTTAAATTTAGTGTGTATCACTCAGTTTTTTTCTACTTCACTCATGTGAACAATATTCTACTGCACGTAGAAATAGGAAACTGTATGAAAAGTAACTGTTTTCTTGCACTGTTCGCTGCTTAATGGCATGCATGTGTTTCTATTAGAAATATATGAAAAAATTCTGTGGTCGTTTTTTTCCCGGATTTTCTTAACTTTTCTGTCCTTTCCTGTCAAAATTTTCAAAGAATAAAGTTAAACAAAGCAGAAGAACATAGTCTTATTGATGCATAATTAATGAGAAGATACTTTTTTTTTCGCTATAACTTAAGATTTTATTCATACCAATCTTACAAAAACAAATGAATACCGAATTTCCTGAACAAGACTTAACTCATAGTCAAGAACAATACCAATCTGATTATGAGATTAGATGAATTTCATGAATTAGTAATTGAATAGAGTCAGACGAGTGAAACTCAAGTTATTTCATTTCACAACTATGACAGGGGGTGACAATTTGTCTACAGTAGTTTAATTATAAACATGGATAAAATCCTTATCAAATACTATTCTCACCTCTGCACATGTCACATCATGTTTGTTTTACAAGATGAGTATGAGAGTAAACGATACGGTAAGAATTACTGACATTGCGTCGTTTGTAATTTTCTTAGAAGCGATGGTAATCTACTAGAAATGCAAAGAAAATCATTCGAGTTATCGTTTTTAAAGAGTTCAACTTCTACAAAATAACATCATTTTTGACATATTTGCAAATAGTACTCATCAGTCAAATCGAATTTCTGTTGAAAAATAAATTCAATAGATAAATCTATTTTCACCTTAGTTATAGATATGTGGAAAATAGACAGCATGTTTCAATACTGAAGCGTTCTCTCGCACGCTTCAATGCTTATGAATTGCAATATTCATCATTAAATATACACATGAATGAATTCTAGACTAAACTACTTAATACTTTAGGCATGAGTTATAAAAACAGAATTGAGTCCATAATAATATATAAAAGTATTTCAAGTGAATATCAACACGCTGTATGAACGTTGACTATCGCGTATAATTTCTTTTCTTCTATCATAGTCTGCAGCAAATATAGAAGAATATAATAGTCTTTAAAAATTTCTAATAAAATCTTATCCTTTTTTGAAGATTACTTCACTTGAATGGGGTGTAAACTGTCGATATTTGCGTCATCAAACACTCAGTCAAATACTGCATATCCACAACGATTAAAAGTTTCCGATGATAAATTGAATCAATCACAGACAACACGTTTCGTCGAAAATTGTTTAATTGTTTTGCTAGCTGACCAGACATCAATTGAAGAAGAAAATCTTCTCAAACAATTACGTCATGTTATATCTGCCTTACGAATATTTACCGATTCGGATGCATGCTTTACTTTTATTAATTATATTCATGTTGAGAAAATCTTTCTAGTAATCTCTCCTGAATATAAAAAATTTATTGATCGTATTCATCATTTATTACAAATTTTGAAAGTCTATGTCTTCGATCCAAAGATTCAGATGCTAAATAACATACATGATCCTATCGTACAACCGAATATCTTTCGAAACTCGACTGATTTATGCAATCAACTACGTGAAGACAGAGAACTTTTTGAACTTGATTATGTCGCTATCAAGACAGTTCCTCCATTATGCTCGGATGAAGTTGCACTGAAATGTAAAGCATCATTTCTACTTGTACAATATATGAGAGGTGTTGTAATTCGCTACAAATTTGAAAATGATGCAAAGGATAGATTTGTCGAGTTTTGTCGAATACACTATGCGGACAATGACGAACAACTGTGTGAAATCGATAAGTTCGATAGAACCTATCGACCACAAAACGCTCTATATTGGTTAACTCGAAACACATTCGTGTCACGTATATTTAACCGTATACAACATACATTAGAAATTGATCTTCAATACAAAATAAGCTTTATAACAAAGCATATTCATGTACAACTCGCTCACTATTCTGATCAGAACGATTCTTCATCAAAAGAAACATCTTGGAGTTTCTATCGCGGAAAGACAATGTTACAGCATGAATTTGATGCTTTCCTGAGAAATAGTTCCGATGGTTTGCTCTCATTTTCATGGTTTATTATGGCTAAGAGGAACAAGAATGTAGCTATTGACTTGTTACATCGTTTAATTACTGTTAATCCCCAACGAATAGCCATACTCTTCGAAATCTATATCGATACAACGAAACATGTGATCAGCCCATTTGCTTTACTTGAAAATAACGATCATGAAGATCATTCAAAGAAAGACGATATATGCTTTACAATTGGTACGGTGTTTAGGATCCAATCTACAGAGCAAGTCAATGAGTTTTCTATTGAAATGTGGCAAGTTAAATTGATTCTTGTGGATGATAGTGATTCGCAACTTTTTCATCTTGTTGAGCCATTGCGCAATAATGACATTCAAACAAATCCACTGGCCTATGCTGGTAGACTGCTAGTCGAGATGGGTGATTTTGATCGTGCTGAACAATTTTATCTTCAAATACTTCTCGATCCATCAGTTCTCAATCAACCACGTCGAAGCTGTCGCATACAAACTGCTCTCGGCTCTGTTTTTACACTGAAAAACGAATTCAATAAAGCGCTTGAGCATTATCAACAGGCTCTAAAAGCTAGCTTAAGCTGTTTGCCTCCGAATCATCCTGATCTGATGCCAATCCATAGTGCCATTGGCGATTGTTATTATAAGACTGGCAATTATTTATTAGCCTTGCAAAGCTATGAACGAGCTGCTCAACTTATACAACCTAATATGCAATCGATTGATCAGCAAACTCTCGATGATTTAAATAATCATATTGTTAATACACGAAAACATCTCAACAGTAGTGCCTGGCGCGATACTGTACAATTTTCTGTGTAATTTATAAAATAATTAATCAGATTGTAGAACTATGTTTTTTTGTGGTTCGATATTCTATGAATCTGCTTCAGTGTCTGTCGAATATATTTCCATGTACATGTATATCTCGTCTGCTTACATATGAGAATTTTCAAATAAAGCATTTTTCTGTTCAACTAAAACTTCAATAAAATAGCAATTCTGAATGAGCTTTTCTTTATTCTCCATTGAGGTTAGCATACGGATTAGAAGCCTATATTTAGAACATGCGTTTATTTTCGAAGAAAATAGTGAGTGTAATTTGATGTCAAGATTGATTTCCACTATTGACATTTCAATAGTTGAAGTTCTCTTTTCGACTTTTTTTAAATACGTTGAAATTTAATCTGTCAATAACAATAAGAAGCAATAGGTCGGTTTGTGATAGTTGTCATATAATCAGCAAAAAGATAAAATTGAATTAAATAATAAGTTTAATTTCAGTCTAAGCAATATTAGTGATTTTAAATTGATCAAGATATGCAATTGTCAATCGATAACAGTTTGAAATAAAATTGATGTTTACAACAGTAATAAATGTGAACCGAATCAATGATTAGAAAAATAATAAAGGGTGTGGGTGTGGGTGTGAATAATGAGAGTAATCACACACACTCCATACCTACACACATAATAGTCCATATATCATCGTGTGGTAAACAGCCAAAAGCTAGCTTTTGTTGCCATTTATGATCATTTAACGTTTGAAACAGTGTGATGTTGTTGCAGACGTCATCGTGTACGGTTATCGATTGTCATTGATGTCGGCAATGATTAATATCCTGGAGGCTCCTTCGTTCGTATACGGTAGTGTTGTTTGAGTGTAGACAGATGATATTAAATTATCATTTAGCACGCTTATGTATCCCTGAATTCTTTTGACATTATCGTGATTGAACTGGTAGTTGACTTGATAGATTGACAGGCTTTCATTTAAATAAAAAAGTGCTTTAAATGAGTTACTTATATATCTACAGTATATACCAATATTTCTGAGACTGTTTGCAATTTTTATATGATCAGACGACAGTTTTTGACGATAGAGATCCAGTGCTCGGAGTTCGCATTGCAAACCATGATCAATCTTGAAGGGTGTGGGCGTGGGTGTGGGTGGGTATGGGTGTTCTCTTTCGTCCATACTTACACCCACACCCAAACCCAAACCCAAACACACCCACACCCTCTTCTTAGAAATTGATCAATAGAAATTAAATCGAATTATTATGTAGAAAATATAGATGATGAAACAACAAGGTTTGAGTATATTCTTTCATAGGATAGGTTCAAACTATTTTTTTCTCCTTCCATCAAATGGATAGTTAAGTGGAAGATTTATTACAAAAATCGAATTAAATCAAATATAACTCTCTTCATTATCGGCTTAGTGACGATACTTTTATTAAATTACGATTCATAGAAGGGCTTGGATTCTCTGTATTTTTCACTTTTTCAAATAGTATCGATTATTTTATGTGTGAAATCTACTAATATCTATTTCAGAGTTAAATGGCCGTGGACATTTTTCAATAACTCCTTGATAGGAACGAGATAGAGATCTATGGTTTTCACCGTTGAAAAGAGCAAATGAAAACACATCGAACCATATATAGAAAGATTTTGCTAACTACTTTCCTAAAGGTTTAGTCAAACGTTTTCAAAGAATTGCTTTTTTCTCCTACGTTAAAAAAATAGCTTTTCTATCAAAATACTAGAAAAATTTACATTTTTCGATTATTTTGTTGAAAAAAATGAGGCGGTAAATTGTGTTCCGATGGTTTGGATATCATACTGATAGTAGTTAGAAACAGAGTCTTGATATAGTTTTGTAGCCCTTCCTTTGATGGTTCTAGTGCACTCCTGAAAATCAATACATTAATATCGTGACCATGAGAAGCATGCTGTTTTTCTTGAAGTTTAATGCAAAACCTATAGAAAAGTAGCTGGAAGATCTTTCTATATATAATGCGATGCGTCTTCATCTGCTCTTTCCAACAGTGAAAACCGCAAATCTCTATCTAGTTTCTATCAAAAGTTATTAAAAGAAAATGCCCACGGCCATTTAACTCTGAAATGAACATTAATTAGGATAATTTTTTGATGACTCCAGATACTTATTCATTTGTGTATTTCTTCTTAACGAATAAATGATAGTCTACATGTATGTTTATTCGGCCATTATATATTTTTATCATATTTATTATCTCGATGCGCTGTTCAATATTTTGCTTTTATTGCATTAGATCTCGATTATCTGAATATTTCTCGATGAAAGACCTTGAGAATCATGCTTCTTCATTCGAGTTCTAACTTTCTACGTGATTCATATTAAATAAAAATTTGTTTAGAAAATGATAATTATGCATACCTGTTTTTTTTTATGTCTTGTATATGTGTTTCTTCAAGATTTCCTTATGTAAAGTAATGTATTGTTAATCATTAGTTTCAATTATTTTACTACAAATAAACATCATAATTCAAGAATCTACAATCTTAGAAACAGAAGTAAGCAGTATAAACATAAAAGGAAATAACTATAATTGACAATATTGTCAACCACTGATGAAAAGCTCTACAACTGTTATAAAAACTCAGAGTCTAAAAAAATTCGTTTTCTCTTGAGAATACTTTAAAAAAAATTGAATAAATAATGTTCTAAAGAATTATTCGTGTTTAATTATTTATAACAAGAGAAAGTTAATCTAGTTCAAAACGATATAGCTATGACCAGTGACGTTTCGTAAATAGTCGTTTCTGGACTAATTATCTTTAATTATCATTGAATACCGATGAATATTCGTCATTATTGCGACTCTAATCGTTGTCATGTGCTGTCGAGCGAACACAATATTCTAACAGACTTAAACTTTAACTGAGGATAGATCTGCATAATTTCTAGTTATATTGAAAATATCAGACATTTATCGATTGTGAATAATGATATATGAAACCTCCAAAGTTGTCTAAAATAATGAATTTTCCTTATATGAATGAAATATATACACGAACAATGACGCAATTGTATGAGGTAAAGATTTTATTGTCAGTCATACTCATGAGAATTTGCGTCCAAAATTCGCTCTATTTTTGGTCTTTCGTTTTTAGGTCTCTTAGAAAAGAATATGTGAAAACTCGAAGTTTCATTAGTTTTGAAAACGATTTACGTCAAATTGCATGAAATACTTGTCTCTATCACCTCTCTTAAGTTCAGCAAAGTCTAGGACCCTTAACCAAGCATGTTCTATGAAGATTGGTCGCGTTTTGCTATATAAAAGAATGGTGTCACACTGAATCTTATAGAGTTCTAGATTTGGGCATAATTTTCTGATCCAGAGATGTAATGGCTGCTTCTCACTTGCGAACATGAAGAAAATTAATTTCAAGTAAAATAAAATTATTTTGAATTTTCGGTTGATTTAAAGTTGACAGTTTTACAATTTTTGTATAAAACAATTAAATTTCATAGCTAATTTTAAAGATTTGCTCCATGAGAGCGGATATACAAAATAAATTGCTTTAAAAAATTTTAATGAAAAGTTATTTTTTTTTAAGAAAAAGTTGCTGCAATTTGTAGAGGATGTAAGTTTGTTGTTAAATGAAGATTTTCGTCATAAGAAAATTTATTGAAATTTGCTAATGGCATGAGTTTTGTTCAATATAGATTGTTTATCTTAATGGATCTGACGAAATATATACAGGACGTGAGCTTTTAACCAAAGAAGTTTTTGATTGAGTTAGACTTGAGATGATATACAGAAAGGTGTACAGATTATAAAGAATGATATGATGTTTTTTTCTATAAATAGTAATTATGAAGTATTATATCGCATAAAACTATATGCATATACTAACTTTTCTTGAAAGTAATCTAAATCTTATTATCAATTATTGTTATTATCGTTTTAATGTAAGATGAATTTCGTGAAAGAGAACTAAATATTTAGGATTGATATTGACTAGCTGACTGTTTTGTTTTATTATTGATAAACCAATACTCATAATGCACATGTACGAGCAAGGCTCATCGATCTGGGTTTAGCTAAAAAGCGTTTTAGTTAAAGTCAATGTGAGTTTTCAAAGAGGTTTTATCATGATTTATAGTGTTAATTCAATTTTTATTGCAAATGTCAGGTGAATGAATGGAAATATGTTCGTGAACAGAAGCCGTTCACCAGCATCCTTATTTTAAAATGCGTCTTTTTTGAATAGCATTTTTTTGTATTTTGTATTGTTGTATATAAATGCTTTGCACCGAAATTAATTTATCTACATTTTATGCTTGATTTCATGTTATAATGATAATTAAATAGTGTGTTCAAATTAAGAAAAAAGTCTTATGATATCGGTAACAAAACTTATGTCTAATCAACTCTATAAATTACAGTTAACGCTTTGGGGACGGGGTTACTGTAGCAAAAATGAATAATTTTTTTTGAAATACTGACCAATGCATTTATTCGCAAATATAAAGAATAAACAATTAGAAGTATTTCAACATATGATAATCGCGAAAACAGCCAGAAATACAAAGTCCGACGTTACATTCAGTGCATTCGTATCTGGAAACAGCTCTCTTTTTAGCTCTTCTTGTTGTATTTGCGCAGACCACGCATTGTTTTCTAGGATTTTTTCTTGCGGTTGTTGACGGTATAAGTGACGAGAAATGGCGACCAATAAGTCCATTAGGATTTTTTCCAAAGCTAGGTCGACCTCTTGGTGCTTTTGACTTTCCATGCATCTCAATGATTTGACGAATCAACTGTAATCAAAATTCATACAACCGAATATTGTTACGAGTCTTATGTCTGTATCAAAGGAACGAATTGAGTACAGATAAATCCATAAAATGGAAGAAAAGTTTCTTGTAACATTTCGTTGTCCTTCGAATACACTCAACACAACTAATCTGCATATAGGATCTGTCAATGGAACCCATATTTGTATTGTATGCTATCACAGAAGCTGGTTTTTGAATTTGCTCATTAGTTTTCCAGTGAACTTTTCCAGTATTTATCATTTTTGCTTCATGTATTGTCGAAAGCATGGTGACTTCTCTCTTGTCAAACCATTTTACCACAAGTAAAATGTTTGTGTTCCGGTAATCGCTGTCACCCTTTTGTAACGTATTAGTAAAGTATGGCATGCTGAGGCGATTCTGTCGCATAGTACCACAGGCTTCTGTTGAGTTCGCATGTGACTCTTCGAAAAGGATTGGACTTGAATACCAACTGTCCATGAATAAATTGTGACCTTTCCGAAGATACGATTGCATAAGAGTCATTACGATGGATCCTGGTATTCCAAGCTCTTTACTATGATGAATCTCTGCTGCAGATCTCATGTAAATCACGAAATCCAATATATATCCAGTGTGACAATCGCTCAAAACAAATAATTTAATTTCGAATCTGCTTCGTTTGAATGAATGTATTGTTTGAAACTTAATCTCCCTTTGTAAAGTACCAAACCTTCATCAATACATAGGTTCTGATATGGAACAAAAATACGTCGGAACTTTTGCTTCAAATCTTGCACGACAGGTTTTACCTTGTATGATCTGTCTCCTTCAGGTTGATATGTATTATCATTAGAATGCAGAAATTTCAAAAGTAGTAAGAATCTATCTCTAGGCATGATATCACCAAAAACTGGTGTTGCTATCAAGGGATCGATTGACCAGTAATCTTTAATTCTGAACTTTTTCATATGCGCCATTAACATGAAGGTCGCCAGAAAAAGATACATTTCTTGAAAATCAGTTGGAATCCATTTTGCTAGATGTGATGATGATGATATATGTTTATCAGATGAGTTTACTTGAAATTTGTTTGTCTCATCAACAATAATGTGAATCAATTTTTGATCAAAAAATAGCTTGAAAAACTCTAATGGTGACTCTCCATTTAAGCTACAAATGATTCCACAACCATCGTTTTGAAATTGGAATAATTTTGGCTTAAAATTTGATTTTGTCTACAATCTTGAAGTGCAAGTTGAACTACGAGATGATGAAACATCTTCATCATCGAAAACTTCCGTAGAACTCTCGATATTATGGTCACTATATTCGCTAGTCTCCGATTCATGCACAGTTTCTGTATCTGATTCATTATTTTCATCAGTGTCCGGTTCACTCTCGGTTTCTGCATCTGATTCGCTTTGTGACACAGGATTGGTGAAAATTTCGTTAAATTCAATTGTGTTTTTTTCTCTGACTGCTGTCATTCTGATCTTCAAAAGAAATAAAGAACAGCAAGAGCAGATATATATATATATATATATTTGATGGATAGAATAAGAATATACTAGAAAAAAGAGAACTCGTAAGAAGATGACTAAGAAAATGTACGTGAAAAATCCACCGTATGTATGTGTCACGTCTTCAAGCCGAATTCGATGTCGAGCAGAAATCACGATTCAGAAGAGCTGGTTTATTCACAAGGGAAAACTAAGTGACTGATTGGGAAAATGACAGTGACAGACAGGAAACACCGGTATATATAGTATGAAAATTACGCAAGAACATTACGCAAGTATACGTCATATGTCCGAGTAGAGTGCATAGAAAGTTCTAGAAGGCACATGCAATACTGAACAATAGATAGATAGATAGATAGATAGATAGATAGAGATGGTCGCGTGGACAGACACGTAACCACTTAGTCACTATATCACAGTATGGTTATTCGATAGTGACATAACAGAAGTAATGGATCTAAGTGCAAAAAGAAAGAAGGTGAATGAGGACACAACACAAACGATTATATCACCATGCATCGAAAGTAATAAATTCATGATCTGTATCGTCATTTCTGCCATGAGAATATCGTTAGAGATTTGCTTAGGTCAGGTACTGATGAAATCAGAATCGAAGCACATATATGTGCTTCCCGTCCCCAAAGGGTTAATTAAGAAGAAAAAGAAAAGAGCAGTAGTTTAGCGAACTCTATAAATTGTAGCTAGTTAAAAGTGAAACTAAAGGTTATAAGTTTTATTGAAATTGGTATCAGTAATTTTTTTAAAAATTTCAAAAACAAAAATTTGAAATTTTCGGTGAATTTTCTAAAACTAATTTACGTCATAAAATAAGCTTTTTTTAAAATTCATATAAATAAATATTTCAGAATTTAAACCACGAAAATTTTTGACTTAAGGCTGTTTCCTATTTGAATATTTTAAATTGAAAAAAAAAACAATTGAAACTGAATTCACCAGGCTTTGAATTTCGACTTTATGTTCTCCAATGAGAAGACACGGTATATTTACGTTTTCAAAATGACGCATACACCATATATTCTGTTTTCTTTCTCAAGGGAGTGGAAAAGTAGTATAAATGAAACGAATAAACATGTGAGTGTGTTTATTGTCTGTATTGTCTGCAACCTGTATGTGTCGATAGTTTATCGTTTTTTATGCGCATGAAATGCTGTTCCTACTGATTGTCATGCTCTTGTTGTTAATATATTTTTATTTAAAATTCAAATATTTTACCCTTCGCGATGATCTGCCCGGTTTGTCACCTCACATTCTCTTTGGCAATCTGATTCAATCAGGTATACTGCTGAATGGTGCAACCGCTGCAGAAGCCTTCAAAGAGTTTACACATCGCTTTGGTAACATTTTTCAATTCTGGCTTGGTCCTTCACGTTTGATTGTCGTGGGTGGCACTAGCGACGTAGAGCATATATTTACTCATCGACATATCTACGAACAGGGTGATGCATTTGTCAAAAAGTTTGGTGTTCTTATTCCCAATGCGTTAATTAACCTTAAAGGTAAATTTTAATCATCTAATTGGAGAACTCTCATAAAATGATTTCTAGGTTCCACCTTCAAACGCCATGCCTCACTAACTATGCCCTTGTTTCGCCATAGCAAGATTATCTGTAATCTAGATTTGATTATGGATACTACTGACAAACTATTGGCCAAATGGCGTCATAGTTTGCCTCAGACAGTGCATTTGGACATTGTTCACCAATTTCAGAAACTAATTCTTGACATCTTCGGTTTCATTGCATTCGACTACGATTTGAATACACTCGATGATGATGGTCATAAGAACACAAGTAACAATGATCTTGCTCGAGCATTACAAGACATATTGAATTTAGCTCAAAAAATCATCCGTTTTCCAGACGTTATTATCATTTTCTATTTGAAATTGAATATCAAATATCGACGAGCTCGAGCAATCGTCGAACAATATTGTAATAGAATAATAGCACACGAATTAGCTCAAAGTCCTGAGTCGATTGCACAACGGAAAAGAACATCATTGATCGCATCACTTATATGCTCATTGCAACAAGATGAACAAGCAGAAGTTAATGCAACTGAAGATAAGAAGAAAGGTCAGTTTGTGTACTTAAAAAATATATTTTGTAAAAAAATAAATCTACAGGTTTGTCTCGCAGTGAACTGTTCGACGAGATGCTGTTCTTTTTAATCGTCGGATTTGAATCGGTATCTAGTGCTTTGTCTTGGTTCATTTATCATATGAGCAAACATCCACAAGTGCAGCAGAAGATCAAGGTAGAATTGATGGATGGCAATGATTATAAACGACCGTTATCATTAGATCGTCTTGATTCACTTGTCTATTTGGATGCTGTTATTAACGAAGTACTACGCTTTACTCCAATCTCCGATGGAACCTTTCGCACATTGATCGTCGATGATCGTCTGCCTGAGAGTGGCGTCCAATTATACAAAGGCGAACAAGTGTATATTTCCATTCATAATCTTGCACAAGATCCTCAGAACTGGTCAATCGATCCTAACGTTTTCTATCCGGAGAGATTCTTGGAAGGAGGCAAGCCTCTTCATCCCTATGCATTCGTTCCCTTCGGTAGTGGCCATCGTCAATGTATTGGACAAGATTTAGCTCGATTTGAGTTCAAGGTAATCGCAGCAAGGTTGATGCAATATGTCACTTTTCATGATGGTGGCCCTCAAGTTAACACTGGTGGACAAGTACAAACCATTACCATTATGCCGAAACATATCGGTGTTAGTATTACATTCGACTGATCAAATCAAACCCTTTTTATAATCCATTAGACATAACAAATAGCGTATTAGATAGTGTCGTACTTTTCTCTTTGATATATGTCGTATAGTGCTTTCTCTTCTTTCTCGTGCCGACTGACTATTGTTCTTCCTACTTTCTCTTATGTATGATATATGTCATCTAGCATGTTCTCTTCTTTTTTACTTCACCTCATTATTATTCGTTTTCTGTTCTCTTTACAAAAAAGTTATTTTCATACCTGGGTTTCCTGGAAAGGGTGTGGGTGTGGGGTGTGGGTGTGTGGTGTGGGTGTGGGGTGTGGGTGTGTGGTGTGGGTGTGGGGTGTGGGTGTGTGGTGTGGGTGTGGGTGTGGGTGTGGGTGTGTGTATGAGTCTTTCTCATTGTCCCACAGACACACACGCACATCCACACCCACACCCACACCCAAACCCTTTATGGAGAACAGTAAAAAATATGAGGATGTGTGCATCACGGCGTTTGGAAGGTTTTTCAGCAGTGGAGAAAGGTGATTTTACCACACATGAAGTCCAGGCTGGGAAAAGAGACATCGTAGTGTTTAAATCATGAGCAGTAGAGCATACTAAGTGGTTATGTAGTACCATCAAGACAACGAAACATTTCGAAATATATCTTTTGAAGATGCTATCCTAATGGTTTTTAGGTACAAA